TAGGATGCTGCAAAGCCCAGAAGAGGAGAGTCTACTCCCTGAAGACATGCAGAAGGAGGGACGCAGAGTGGACCTAATCTGGAAATAATTCCTCTTCAGGACGATTTTGATCTGCTGCCAGGATCCGCCTTTCTGGAGCTCAGCGAAGGCCGCGCTGGCCCAAAGGCTCTTCCAATGAAGCACTGGGGAAAACAGAAGGGCAGCTGTTTTAACACCAGAGCCTTGCCCAAGACCTGAAACGAAGTGAATAGCGAATTATTTATAAAGGGCCATATGGCTAAGGATAACAAGGAAGGGCACATCCTGGTGTTGGGGCTCCGTAATCTGTGGTTTTTGAGGAGAAATCGGTGCGGAGGGTTCCTGGCGTGGCTCGGATGGGCCTCCTTGAGGAGGGGATGCAATTCATCAGGGAACCTGCTGAGTTAAATGGAATAAATCAAGTAGAGATCAAGATAATTAAGCAAGGCTGATTTTAATGGATAGACATTGTTTAATGAATGAAAATGAGTTTATTTTGTATCTGTTGGGTGACAATAACTCAGAGATTCAATATTTGAGTTATCACGCTGATTTTCTTTTCAAGAGGCAATCAATTAATCGTAGGAGCTTGAATTCATGAACACCCAGATACAATCCATTAGCTGGCTAGTGGGGGCAGCTTTGTAACCAAGCAAGGTGTTGTAACAAATCCATTTGAATTGATGGGTTTCTGTCCAAAGGAGCCCCCCCACTCCAGAGCCCGTTCCCCCTCCCTCTTCTTTTTCCTTGAAATGCTGGAGATTGGGATTGTCCTGCTGGCCTCTATGGATGCATTGGATCCTGCAGATTCTGTAAGGCCTGATTTGTCAACCCGGGTCAGGGGGTTGTGGGAACAGGGGAAGAACCAAAACAGAAGCAGTGTTCCTTTCGAGAAAGTAAGGGGGAGCATTTTGTGGAGAGCCGGCAGAAGAGCAGTGCAGAAGGAGAAATGAGAAACCATCAGTGTTATCAAATAATATCCGGGGCCATATTTTTCTCGGCAAGGCTGCTCAGCAGCCTCATTCAGCATTTTGTGTTTATTTCAAGCAGCCTCTCTTTGCTTCAGAGCTCTCATAAATCTCGAGCCACGGAATTAAGCTGGCTCTATAACTTATTCCCCTGGCCTTTTTCTGTGGAGGGGAGGGTCAGGCTTTCCAATTGAAACTCACGTCACCCTTGCCAAGTTTAATCTGGGGTGTCAAGAGAGGCCATTTGTTTTGCTTTATCCCAAATTAAAACCATTCTTCCTGCACGGCTTCAAGCGTGAACCTCTCCCCCAGCTCTGATCTTGATGGAATTGGCTGCTAGCACAGAAGATTCCTAAGAAGGAATCTTGTTTGGCTTCAGAAGATTTGCTGCTGCTGCTGCTGCTGCTGGGCTCATGCTGGTGGAAGACCACCATGGTCCTTGGCAGTGGTGAAATTCACATTTTTTACTACCAGTTCTGTGGGCGGGGCTTGATGGGCTTGGCTTGGTGGGCATGGCAGGGGAAGGATTCTGCAAAATCCCCATTCCCTCCCCACTCTGGGGCCAGCCAGAGGTGGCATTTGCCAGTTCTCCAAACTACTCAACATTTCCGCTACCGGTTCTCCATAACCTGTCAGAACCTGCTGGATTTCACCTCTGGTCCTTGGCCTTACAGGGGAAAGTGGTTTAGAACAGGGTTTCCCAACCGTGGCAACTCTAAGACATGTGGACTTCTACTACTCCCAGAATTCCCAGCTATGCTGGCTGGAGAATTCTGGGAGTTGAAGTCCACGTGTCTTAAAGCCACCAATGTTGAGAAACTCTGGACTAGGAGAGGGAAGACCTTTATTCAGGTGGAGACAG